TTGCGCACAGTAGCTCCAGGTATTACCGCACGCTACGGCTTCCGAAGACTCGCAGAGACACATAATTCTATTTTCCATAATGCCATAATGGTATTATCAGTTATTCGTATGTATGTATGCACATACGTTAGGTGATGAAAAATAACAGTGGCGAAAACATCACGATGTGATGATACGATAAAATTGAATTATTTTCAGATCCAGTTGTGTATACATACAGATATTTTGCGAAATACAATTGACATTGAGAAATACACTTGTTTTTACGAGACATGACTCAATATTTTCCTTCTATTTTATAATTCATGCTCTTTTTTCCATGTAATGCGATTAATTACTTTCTAGAGACCGGTGGAGTCGTTCGAAAGATTGAATCAATGGTGAACAGGATTGCCGTCAACAAACAGTTGGATGGAACTTGGTGGTAAACTTAATTGAATAGAGACATTATTCCTAAGCTATCAAATATGCATAGTCAGAGTGATATAACTGGAGACATGTTTACGAAGGAAGCGACTCACCGCTCCTTCCGGTCTTTCGCAAACACTTGAGTAGTTGAGACACACGATTAACTACGCAAATGGGAAAGCGCAGTTAGATATTGCAGAGAAGCTCAACAGAGAAACACAAGCTTCTAACATGATGCTCAAATATCTATCGAAGAGAGACAACGATGAGACAATCGAATAAGTGTAGCTCGAAACTCGACGTTCTGTTTTTGAACTGCGAAGTTGCAATCGCGATATCATAACAGGAGCGACAATAATAACCAACTTATTGTTAGAACAACGATAACACGAAATACTGGAACGATTTGTCAGTGAGTCTTCGTGAGTTTTGTGCCGCAGTTTGTCTTTCCTCTATTTATTATCTCGAGGGTAACAGATGGCTCGAAATAATTAAACTTACAGCTCAGAATATTTTTCTGAACTAGGACGTACCGAGTGACTCGACACGTGCACGTTCAATAAAACGAAGAAAGAGAAGTACTCGTTAATTATTTTCTTAATTATATGTCCTCTCGGCACATCTTTCATTACCGCTTCCCCCTAGTGGCTCAACGATCATCGTCCTCAGGCTCCGAGAAATTGTCATCCGCTCTCTCCCAGAGCTACATTATGGCATGAGACACAAAACGAAATGGAGAGAAATTCGAGGAGCGTAGAGTACACAGAGAGACGTGCGTGCAAAGCTACCGGCAAATTGATCCCGAGCGCGCAACCGTGCCGGCTTCTCGGTCCAGCTTTATGTGCCATTTCCATTTCGTCTTGCTTCGCGCGAGAGACAATCGAAAGATATGTCGATCTCTTCTCCATTGTCCCGAGGGGAAGCAGGTCGATTGTCGCTTACCTCATTGAAAGCGGGTTTTTCGGTCGGCGAGTCGTGTCGCAGTCAGCACGCCGGCGTACCTGTCTTTCCTGCCTTCGGCATAGCCGCGACGGGAGGAAAACCGTTACGCGATCGCGACCGCTCCCACCGTCGACGATCAACGCCACAACAAGCGATACGTTCTCGCGAAAATGCGACCGCCGGTTACGAACACTTGCATATTGCGAAGAAAACTCGCGAATACTGTTGGCGATCGTCGGCGGCCAGCATTTGACCGTCTAAACGACCTCGTGGACGCCGCGAAACCGCAGGCGGTCTTGCATCTCAACGCCCGGGACGAACAACAGCATCGAGCGGATCATCGTTAACGATTTACGGTGCAAATAGCACGAATGCGTCGAAGCCACTCGCTGAAGCCGTTGCTCGTTGATAGCCGATCATAAGCGGCGATCGACACAAGTCGATATCCATTCACTCGATTCACTTCAACACAAGGTGTACCACTTCGGGCTACCGGCACTGAAGTATCCAAACGTGGCGCAGAAGTATCCAACAGTCACTCATTCACAGGCACACTCGAAATCGGCTGTCAAAACACTACTGGATCCAAGGTTATCTGTTCGGCGACCACGACCGCTTCAGGTAAACTGAATAGAATTACAGTGCGCGATGATCTAACTCGACATGTAGGCACGATGAACGGTTACCTGTCTACGCCGGTGCTCAATAACGGTAACTCACTCATTCCTCACGGCGGGTTCGGCCGCCTGTGCTATTTCGCGCTGGTGAACACTAAAGACTGCCGTGCACGAAGCTACCAGTCAAGTGCGAAAGCGCAACGCGAGCACCCTGCGAGTAAGATTCCCGGTCGTCTAGCGCGATAAACTTGCGCGGCAACAAGGTGCTCACGTTGCGCTTTTGTGCTCGGTTAACTTCACGGAGTGCAGCCTGCAGCGTACTGCAGCGCGGGTGCAGCGTAGGCGAGCGGATTCGTGATTAGTTAATGCGCTTCATCAGAACGCGACGCGACTCTCTCTATGGGCCTCTTCATTTTGACCAGCTCGGCTTTTGAAAGAGTCTTCCCGCGCGAACGGAAGTTCTCGGCGGCACTGTTAACACCAGCACTTACGCCAATGACGCTCGACGAGGTGACTCACTGATTATTAGTTTGTTACGGTTAATCAAAAAGCGACACGGAGCGACGCAACACCGCGAGTTTGTCTGCTTTTTCTGGGCCAGCCCAGGTGTGAGCGAGATGTAGAATAAATATCCCGGTCTGGACGAAAATTCTCGCCGGCACTATTAAGACACACTTGGGCACTGGACTGTTCTCCAGACATGAAACTGAAAAGACGCGACACGAAAAGAAAAAGACAGACAAAATGAAAGAGAGAGAGAGAGAGAGAGAGGAAAACGTGAGGCACGAGGACACAGAGGCTTACCATTATAAATAGTTGCGACCGAGACGACTAGACGCTCACGAGCAACGTAACCGACGAAGAGAGAGTGGAACAACAAGCGAAGGAAGAGGACGGTGACCAAGCCGGAGGGAAATAGCGATAGGTCTGCGTTAGCGATGGGCTCGAGCGATCGTCGACACGCAGCTTGACCGGACTCACCTGACGAACCGTCGCACACTGATACTCGCCGAGTGGGCAACTCGATCTAAATCGGGATTGAACTTTAAGGTCGGTTAGTCGAAAGTGAGGAGCTCGCACGAATGACGTATCGCGTGGACTATGCAGATATAAGTCAATTGTATAAGTTCACTCAGCACTTTCCATTTCTGAATTCCGTCTCGCGAAAGACCGGTTCTTTCCAACACTTTTCCAGACTTTTATACGGGAGGAGAAGTTTCAGTTCATGAGAATAGAATCAGGGTCAGACGTAATCAGACTCGGTGACAAGAAACGACATTCCTGTTATCTGAATCTGAACATTTAGCAATGTTACAACTAGGTCGAGATAACTAAGAACATTTGACCGAATGGAAACTTCTTTTTCTCCAAGCGAGTTTTCCTCTAGTTCTCAGATAACAGATAATCAGTTACATGAGCTGAGTTTCTTTCACGGTTTTGGCATGCATCTCGAAAGGTATGCACTATTCTCTTTTTCTCTCTCTCTCTGTTTGTCTCTCTCTTTAAATTTCTTTAAAAATTTACGCTATTTTTTCATATTGCTTTTTCGCCACTACTGCTTTTGGAGTGAATTAATAAATCGTTATACTACAGCACGTTGACCGTTCAATCTTTCCGGCTTGAGGTTCCTCCGCTAACGTTGCTTAAGTAAACTATTTAGCAGTGCTGGACAGGAAAAGCAATTAATTACTCACGGGACAAGCGGTTCGAATCTATCGCTGATCGTGTCGCTTGCCTCGCTCCATCCTCGTGCCTCCGCGTCATTGTTGCCGTCCGCGGACCTGCCTGCAATTCTAATCGCGGCGTACCGTCTGGTTCTGGTGTCCGTTCCTGTCAGCCCACGGTACGATCCCGTCGCACTTCCACCCGTCGTGTATTTCATATTCTTGTCGCTTTATCGACCCAAAAGTCACCGACGAAAATCTATTTCCGATGTCGACTTTTTCCTGGCACCGCATTCTGGCTCTTTCGCGCACCGCTGCTATTTCCGTGGAATTATTTCTACATTTATGCGAATATCGCGCGAGCGACTTGGCCATTTTAACGGGTGCGCTTCAACGCGATGGCGCCAATATTTCGAGACGAAATATTGGCGAAAAATCTTCTTTCGTAGTACTTTACTGGTCTTCCGTTTATGCAGATCTGAAATCTCAAATATACGCATCTCAAATCGAGAATGCCGAAGCTCTCGCACCGCAATGACGCAATTGCATCAGTTAGCGCGCGGGCGTCGTGGGAGTTTGCAATCTGTCAAGACTGAATGCGAAATGCTTTCAGAATAAACACCCTCATATCGATAGCGCGAGCGCTCGGATGCGATGAGCGCGATTTATCGGATGTTGTCGCATTACACTACGGCAAAGCTGGCTAAACTGTCGATTTCGATGTACTTTACGCAACTACCAATGTCAATATCAACCGATCGCTTGCCGCATACGGTGTAACGCTAAGTAGACATTTATTTAACTTGCTTCTCACGACAAGTGTGCTTGACACGAGCATGCGTTGTTACGTCATTAAATTCACCAGAGTGTCAGTAAAATATTGTTGTATCTCTTATCTTGGTAAGCAACGCGCCGCAAGCGAGTTTGCATTCGCTTCCGCATAACTATGAGCGACACGTCAACCTCGCGATAAGACACACCGGAAGGTGAGCGGCGTAATATATGTGGCGTAACATGTATAGCGACTACTTCGTCCCAAGTCCCGAGGTCAAACATCTTCAAATTTATCACAGTCAGACGAGAATGCTGAGAAAAGAAAGAATTATCTTTATTTCGAGAACATTACATAATATTGAGTCAATATTTCGTTTTCTTTCTTTTTTTTTTTAATAGATACTTTTACTTAATTGCACCTTTTCAAGATACATGACCACAGAACTCGTTAAGATACTCGCACTGCGAGCGAAAGTATTTTATACGATAAACCGTTTTATTTTAATAATCTGTGTGCTTGCGTTTGTACAGTAATAATAATAATAGTAGTAATAACAGAAATGTAGAGAGACAGGAGGAGAGAGAGAGAAAGAGAGAGAGTAGTAGTAATAATAATAACAATTACAATAGAATCATAGTAATAATAACAATAGCAGTAGCAGTCGCGATGATAGAAGTGATAGTGGTAGTAACAGTAGTAATAGAATGATCTGTTGCAGAAGTAGCGTCTGTCATCCGTTTGGCCTGAGCATCAGCCGCTTGAACGTCGAAGAGAAAAAATGGTGGTAACGTGAAATGGCGACGGGGGCTTCCGGCATTACCGGAGCATGAAGGTGAATGAAAATATCGCCATGAAGGTGCTTCGCTATCGTCGCTGTCACTGACATTCGACGGTTCGATAGGCGATTGCGCGATGATCGTGCCGAGCTTGAAGTAACGCTTTTTAACATCCACGTACACACGCCAAAAGCAATCAGATGTGATTTATTCCTCCTCTTCCTCCTCTTCCTCCTCTTCCTCCTCTTCCTCTTCCTCTTCTTCTTCCTCCTCCTCCTCCTCTTCCTCCTCTTCGACCTCTTCTTCAAACTGCGGCTGCTCGAACTCCTCGTCAACCGCAGCCTTCACGTCTTCTTCGCCCTCCGGTGAGTCGGGATCGCCGGTCTTCTTGCCCGGACGCTCGCCGAACCACTTCGGTAGTTTCGCTGTTGTTCACGGAATGTAACGGATTAATTTCACCATAATCGTGACGAGAAGTGAAACGTACTCTAATTCATGATCAAGATGAGGGTAAATAACGACGAAGTGGTTATCATATGTGAAAACTTTCAACCAGGTAGTTTTCATTAATGTTTCATTAAGTTCTTTAATAACTGTAATAAGTTGAGTTAATTATTATCTTACTATCGCAGGAAAGTTCTCCTCTAAAGACGAAAATTTTTCTATATTTTTACATCATTTTCATAGGTGCTTCGAGAAATTCCGCAAGCTCTCCCGAAGCTTTCGTTTCAGTGCTGATCCGAAATGTCGAATCCCGAAATTATTATACATACTCTTTTGGCGGCCCATGAACTGTTCCTTCTGTTCAGCCCATTGCTTCTCTATGAAATCCTTTTGTTGTTTGTTCAGACCCTGAAACATCAACGGACAGAGTGGCATGCTAGGAGTTATTTTCACACATTTTCGCCTGGAAATCTCCGTGTACCATTCCTTCTCCTGGGGTCGCGAAGATCTCTCTCCATGGCGAAGTTGGGGCTAAGGGAATTAATGTCACGGAGGCTATTCTTGTCATCGCCTTAAGTTGGTTACGATCTTCGACGCTTGCTCTTAATGCTCGAAAATGGATTTTCGGATTAAACAAGGTTGAGTCGAAAGCCGACTTGCTTCACTCTGCCGAGAGGAAAATGTCGAGAAGTCGTTTCGGGGCCACGCGAGGTAAAGTTAAAATTACTAGAGTGCGATTATCGTCGTGGTGACCGTTCGTCGCATCTCTCTCCTATGCTGGGCAATGAAAAATAGCTGTGGGTGCGGTCGCAAAAACGATATCGCCGTGCTTGTATGCGCATCACCGAAACAACACGAACACAGCAATAGCTCGGGTAGGTTATTTCGACCGTTTAGTGAACGAGGGACGAGCGAAGAAATTAGAAACGCGACCGTCGACGCGATTCGACGAGGGAGCGAGGGAGAGCAACCAACAAAGGTAAGCAAAGAGGCACGGTAAAGTGACCGAAAGATCACGGTTGGACTCACTTTTGTTGCGCTTCATAAACTGTTCTGATTTCTCTTTCCACATTTTCTCGCTGGTCTCCGCTATGAACGTATCGTAGCCCTGTGATTTAATCGATATTGGCTCACTAATCACGATTTCTCCGTGTGGAGACATTCCTATCATATCGCCTAGTTTATCAAATAGCGCAGTGAAAAAAAGAATTACTTTCACGTACATCCGTGCTCGCGACAATGTCTATTAAACGTAGTAGTGACAAGTGTCTCTGATACTGCGTTGTAAAAGTTCACGTGGGTGTAGTGAAAGTGAGAATTCTGGACTTGGTATTCTGAATAGAGATCGTTGGGCGAGTCTGGCTGAATTGAAAAATAACAAATGTCACTGTATACTTACGCCCTCAAAGAGTTTCTTCTTGTCATCGTAGGACCTGGTATCAACACGACGCTCGTACTTCGAGGCGACTTGGATCTTTGGCTGTGAGAAAGGGACTCGATTAATTTCGTCTCTTTCTCATATTTCCTCTTTTCTGTGTCTTTCTGTTCTTTCTTTCTTTCTTTATTGTGCGTATAGATAAGATAGAGATTACATACGGGATATTTGCCGGTCAAAGCCTCAGGATCGAGACCCTTCTTCAAAGCTTTGTGCCTCAGTTGTTGCTTTTGACGTTCCTTCAGCTCTTTAAGCTACGATAAAAATGCGATATTGATTTATTAATATAATCTGAAAACGATGCAAACTATAATTAAACCCTTGTTTGATTATCAACCTGTCTCTCGAATGGAAACGACCAACGCATTTTTTTCCTCTATAAAATCACTTTGTATGAAAATATCATATATGTACAAAACTAAATCTCATTTTTTTATATAATTAAAAATTACGTAAAAAACCGGAAATGAATATCATTAAGAGATAGTCTCAGTTTAAGTTTTATTAGGAACGCGAAAGACTCAGATTGTATGAACAATGGTGTGCAATGTTCTCGTAATTGTTCAATATCAACTCACGTCATACTCTTGACGCTTCTGCCGCTCCTCCAGATCGTATTTTTCGGTCTCGAGTTTTACTATGGCCGTCCATAAATCGGCCGCCTTGGCGCGGAGCTTGTCGACCGACAGGTTCTCAATTTCCAGGGGTTTGATACGAATGCTCATTGAGATCTTCTTCTCTTCCTCGAGCTGCTCCTTCGTCTTGTTACGCTCGATTGACGCCAGTGAGATATCGCCCTGCGTTTAGACGGGACAAATTCGGGTGACGATGCTGCGGTCATTGAGAAAAATGAGGAGATACTATAATTCCACACCCACCGAAGAAAGATCTTTCTTGGTGATGGTAAAGTTAGGACCCTTTTTGCTCGCCTGGTCTTTCAACGCTTGCATCATGGCCTGTCGCTTCTTCTCCGACTCCTCCAGGCGCCTAATGATACATAATATGAGAGACATGCTATACAATCAAAATCATCAAACTACGAACACTCGTAGAGGAGACGGTGGACACCTACTTTCTTTTCTCCTCGATGTCACGTTGTCTCTTCTCCTCTGAAAAAGAGTATTCAATTCAGTTGCCTGAAGTTTCCCCGGAAATAGAGATATCGATGAGCGTTTTTACCTATATCACGTTGACGACGTTCCTCCTCTTCCTTCTTCATTTGCGTCAATCTCTTCTCCTCGTCCGCGCGAGTGACTTTGCGCTTGGCTTGTTTCTCCTGAAAGGCAGTGTGCTCTTTGAACAAGATGTTAAATAGATATAAAATTGGAAATGTAGCACAAATAACGAAAAAGCATACCTTTAATCTCTTCAATTCCTCCTCCTCCTTGGCTCTTTGTTTTCGCCATTCTGCTATGTACTCTCTGATCTGTTCGTCGAGGTCACTTCTCTTCTGTTCTTGCCTCTGAACATTTAGCGACGGATTAGTCCCGCGTGCGCAATTGTATGAATTTTTAACTGAGAAACATATTATGTATACATACATGCTGATACTCACCTTCATAAACTCGATATTCTCGCCAGATTCCCTGCAGGCGGTCGGAGCGAAAACAAAAGTAACTCTCTGTAAATCTCCCGTTGGTTACGTCCGTTCTCTGGAAGATCTCGCGAGATCCCCAAGAACGCGAGATTCTCACGTCCATCTTCACTACTTTATTACAACTCCATCCATTCTTTCCCGTAGCGCATATTATTCAATGTCGCTCGTCGCACGTATTCACACACAGACAACACATGGGCGGAACAGTCAGACACACACACATATAGATACACGGACGGACAAACAGAGTCAGAGAAAAATATAGCAGGGATGAAATGAGGGGATGGAGTAGGCGAGGTCAAAGAAAAAGTGAAAAAGAGAGTGAAACGAAAGAGGAGACAAAAGAAAGAAGAAGAAAAAGAAATAGGCAATCTAATGGCAAATAATGTGCAAGCGTGTAAAAAAAAGTAACTAAAAAAAGTAAGTGCGGGGATCAAGAGAAGGTATTAAGAAGAGTAGCAAAGGTCGTCCCATGACTACTTTGGGCGAATTAATTGGTCGTGGTAAAGATCGTGTAGATTCACAAGTGGCCGCAAAGTAAAGAATAAACGCACTTGAGCGTATAGAAAGAGCCGAAAGTAACAATTTCGAGAACTACTCGCGTAGGAAGTTGAGCGAGCCTAAATGCTGGAGCTTCAACTTGGGCGGAATTTGCTTGGTCGAAATGGTCGGTCTCGGAAGTTTACGAAAAATTCAACTTCCGAGCCGAGCTCTCTTGAACTGAACTGCAAAGCGACTCGACAGAACTCATGGGAACGCAAACTTTTTTCCAAAAAATAAACGCTCAGAGAGAGAGAGAGAGAGAGAGAGACAGAAAGAGAGAGAGAAAACGTGAGATACGGAACGTGGTAATTGGATTTTGGTCTGTTTTTTCGGACCATGACTTCCTTTGAAATTCTTCGATATTTTCCAAAAATCTGCTTCGTAAAGGACATCAAAATGTAAGAGCCGCTGACTAACGAGGTCTGCACGGATATTACGCTCGCGATCAATTACGGTGCGGGATCGACATAATTAATGAGGGGGGAGGTCAAACATTAACGAGCCTGGAATACAGGAACGTAACATCGCTTTGATGTAACTCGAACAAGGCGTAATTATGTATGTACAATTAACGAGTGACGCTGTCACTCATTAATTCATTGTTAAACGGAGAGACAAAACGCAGAGCACACGAGAGAGAAAGAGACGTGGGCGACACGAGGGGTTGAGGGTGTGGAGCTGTCGACACTGACAATGAACAATCAGATGAACCACCGACAGGATTGAGATCCGACGAAATTCGGAATATGCGCTAAGTGACGTGTACGTGAGAGCTAATTACACGCGATACTACCGATGTAAATGGCCGATCATTAATTATATCACATTGGCGCAGCAGACGTCTTAGCAGACGTCCGCCTTGGAATAAATGTTGCGTTATCGCGATGAAATTTATGAAATGTCTGGCGGGTTCCCAAATTACTCAACTGACATCATTAACATTAGCGGTTACGCAATCGCCGTAGAATATTTATGAAGGTCCGCGACACACGTGAGTAGCGTCGCGTTTCAAGATGACGCGCTGTCATTCATTAACGCGCTTCAGGCCAACGATCGTACAATTTCCAAACGTATCCAATCGGCAAACAAGACGAAGAACAGGAATTAACTAAATCGCGGTGGATTAATTAACCGTGACGCGGAATGCCGAATTGAGCGTTTTCTGGGATCTCATTCCTGTCGTAATGCAAATCGGAGGGTCTGTTGGCCGATTTTATATCAACGTCAATTAATCTTAATCGTAATCAGCCCTGAGACTCTCAGCTCTTCTCTGATAATCCTTATTTTTCTCTAATAGTAAAAAAAGAAACAACCAGTCGCTTTATCATCGCACATATTTCTTGTTAAATGTACATTTCACACATCCATTCTTCCAGTTATAGAAGCCTGTAACACCGATATTTAATGTTAAATGCGTGGTACAAAATACGAATGACGGAGAATCGACTTCTTCGAAACGAGTTGACTTGTAATACCAACAATTTGTTTTCATTATCTATAATTTAGAAAGAGAAAGAGACAGATTTGTTCTCAGAAAGATCAAACGAGAATTAAATTTAATCGACGTTGGGAAAACCAACTCCGGTAGTGTGAGAGCGGCCAAAGAACAAGGAAGGTATATTATTGACGTGTAAACACCTCGATATGATCAACTTACTTTTGGGACGCTCTACCCCTATAAAAAAGAGAAAGCACAGATTCATTAATAAAGTTACGCGATCGGTCGCTTATGTAGAACTGCACAAAGCCGCGCTTAAATTATGATCGGTATCGCTCGTCTTCTCCAGCTACTTTCGCGCCTTCCTCTTCGCGCAAATCGAGAATCATCCGAATCATATGACTGCGCGCGATTAACAATCGCTCTGCACGATGATTGTTCGGCAATTAATGCGAGCGCAATCACTGTACATTGCTTGTTCGCACAATCAACCGTCGTTATTTTCTTTCAACGAAGATCGCGTTGAAGACACGTGTACGCAACGTTTAGCAAAACGCTTCGTCGCCCAGCTGATACGAATGACAAAGAGGTTAATTAGGCGACAGATATAATGAACAGACACGACGAGGAGATAGGCATGGAGTGATAAAGTGCTGATGCGGGATTTGCGTGCTTGTGTGTGTGTGTGTCTGCGATTGATAACTCGTATCGGAGTTCCTGTGGGAGAGTCAGACGTTCCCGTGGACGATCTCCAAGTGTGTGTATCGTATATTGTGGGGTTTTTTTACACCTGAGATATTCTGTATATATATATATATATATATATATATATATATATATATATACATATATGTGTGTGTGTGTGTTGTCTGTACATAGAGAAGCGCAATAGCGTGTTGTTCCCTTGTTTGACCATCGACGCAAAACAGCGACACAGCGTCAAAGAGACGTCAAAGGCAGCAAATTGTATTATATCTTTCGAAAAGTTAAAAGGCACAGCAGCGAACACATCGACGTCGAATGCAACTCGATTAGTTCGATAGAACTCTGACCTTCGTTAAGAATTTGAGAAAATTAGTTCCAAAGTCGAGATTAACAAATTTAAATTAATTTTCTCGAATCACAGGTGGAAAGAAAAAAACGAGTTAGGATATTGTCGCACAGAACGCTGCAATTGACGCCTCGTGCTAACTCTCTTTCCTTCCCTCACGTTGCATTTTCGCGAGAGAAGTGAAAACGAGCAGCTTTGTAGCGAACTGCAAAAGATTAATTTTTCCGGGGAAATATTTCTTTGGTATCCGTGAAAACATAGGCGAGAGGAATGAGGCCATATGAAAGAAAAAAAAAGTGAAAAAGAGGAAAAGTAAAACAGAAAGAAAGCATGTACGGAAAAAAAGAGCCAGCCAGCAAATATATCGCTGCAAAAAGTACGTCTATGCGAAAGTAAATGACTGCGGTAGCACAATGCGCGTGAAATGAAAAAAGTGGAAGGAAAAAAGAGAATAGAGAGAAAAAAGAGAGATAACGAATGGACAATTAGAGAGACTACCATCAGACAAAACAAGATAGCGGTTAGAAAACGAAGAAAAAAAGAGAGAGATAGTAAATGACACTGATGACAATACGTGAACGTACATTAATTATTGGCCGAAAAAAAGAGACGGTTATACGTGTCATATGCAAAACTTACTCGGTCTTCTTCTCGGGCTGCCTTTGATTTTGCGATTTTTTGAATCATACCGCGCGGGTCGATTAGCCGATCGGTCGATGGCGAGTGATGGTAGTGGTAGTCGTGATTGGTTTGATTGATTGATTGATTGGTTGGTTGGTTGATTGGTTGGTTTTGTGCATTGTATGTGGAAATATACATAGTCAGAAGACAGAAAGTTAGAGAGAGAGAGAAAGAGAGAGAGAGAGAGAGAGAGAGAGAGAGAGAAACAGGGAGTGAGTAAATAGAAAAAGAAAAAACAGAGTTCATAAATCACAGTCAGAAGGAACATCTGGTGTATAACATGTACGATCACAAATTATTTCACGGAATAATTCTGAAAATTTCCTCGATATACAAACTGACGTGATTTGCTGGTGGTTTCTATTGTAAATTTCTCGCCCGATAAAGTACAGAATCAATAAACGCGAAAAACGACGCATTGTTCTCCCGAGAAGAATGAGACCTGCAACGAGTTTCTATTTCCGCGGAAAAGAAAAGTAAACAACGATGTTGTCAGCGCTAAACTTAATCTTGTAGCTAAATTTAATCTTTCGGCTGAGAATGTGAGACACGTGCTGTCTATTCTTTCGAGCAAGAGCTATTAAGAAACTAATCGAAATTCGAACGAATCGATCTCGACGGGTCTTGATAGTAGTGACCATAATGAGCCTCGGGAAACTTACTTCCTGAAATGAGAAAACGAAACAAGCCGTACGTTAGAGAGATGCCGAGAACGACATTAAGGGAATTCAACGCGAGATCGAAGGTGAACACTTACACTTCCTCGACTTCCTCCTCGCTGCTGCAAAAGAGAAAACGGAAGAGAACTTAGTTAGTCGGGGAGGAAATGGTCAGGGGTGATCGTTTAAACGTGTAACAAACTGCGGGGGCAGGGGGCAGGGTGGTCTCAAAAGCTCACTCTTGATGGGACTTAAGCTCTCAATGCTCTTCGAAGCTTCTCCTTCTCGCGCGATTTCATTCCCGCGAGCGTCGTCACGAGTACTTTATTCTGTTACCTTTAGAAAACTACAGTTTCGACTCGAGCACTGATGCAATTGGGTCGTTATGCACGAAGAGGGCCCGGAAGGGGGAGACAATTGAGGCAATATACTTAGACAAGAGTAGCGAAATAGCACATTAAAACACGAAGCTGCAGGGGAATCGTGGGCACTGTTGAACCTTACGTGGGCGATATTCACTCGAACACGGTTTACATAGAGTGACAACGATCAATGAGTATCGCGATCTTGCCTATTGCGACTTTCGTGGAGATTTGACTTTGTAGAGACCTGAAAGTCATCACTGACGCACCTTGATGTTTCTCTCGCGTTATCATTTTCTATTAAAGATCTATCTTGGAAAGCAGCGATATCACGTCGAAGATGTTGTTCTATAAACCGTCTATCTTGAAGATTATGTTAGCCCACTTTTATGCTGAAATCTTTTTGAGATCCCGCTAAAGTCTCGCAGATGCGCTCACGTTGATTCGCGAGCGCATTTCATTGAAATTCAAGACGTTCTAAAATCGGACCTGCATCAGTCCCAAGGTAAACGGCTCGCGATTTAAAAAGAATTCATAAGTTACAGTCAAGATACTTACGAGTATTGTTCCTCGTCGTCAGACATGTTGGCGGCTGTTTAAGGGGCTGCAACGAAAAGAAAAACGGAACGTTAATTGTCGAGATCGCAAAGTCGACGGCGAAGGACTGTGATTCGTAAAATGCAATTCGTGTCCTGCAAAATTGTTGGAAAGAAACTATATATTTCGAGTAAATATCTGCTCGATACTGCTAGCACAACACCGCTCTTTTTACGATTTAACCGCAGGTGCTTATGAAAAACCACTCTAATCGACCTGAAACGCGTCACGCTATACTTCTTATCGTCCACATCGCTCACCGCTGGCACGACAAATGTAAAAAAATGAACGAATGTATATTTACCGGCGTGTAGAAAAGTGAGAAATCGAAAATCTTTCCAATGACTTATATTGTATGGAGAAGGTCGGGAAAATCGATTAAGGGTGGAGCGGTAAAGGGTAGCGGCAAGACAGTCCGAATGTATAAAAAAGCTCGCGGCGCCGAATTTCTCGCGAGGAGAGAGGCAAAGAAGTGAGGAGAAGAAAATTGCGAAGTTGAATATTCTACCGGATGGCATACGCCGATGATCTCATAGTAATCCGATATCCCGGAGGCGAGGGAGGAAGAGAGAGAGAGAGAAAACAGCAGTTTGCTAACCCTGGCAGCAAGTTCGGCATCGCAAGCTCTATAAGGAGCCCGTCCCCTTCTCTTCCTCGTTGCTCTAATTTTAGAGAAACGACACGCTCACACCTACCGCCTCCATCTTTCTGCTTTCCTCTTTCTCCAGCCGCCTCGCGCGAGCTTTACGAAAACATTGTGACGGCCGGAGAATCACCCTCCGACAAGCTGCGAGACGTTCGCAATACTAGTTGATGATCGAGAAATACTTTGGATACGCTGCAGAGTCTCCGGATTATTTGAGGAGTTTAAAAGACGTCGTAAAGGTGTCAAAAGGACGTTTTGATCCTCAGAATGTCAATTACACGTCTTTCGAAGATTCTTCTATCGCTTAATTTTATTTCAATCATGACAATCAGAGCTTTTGCCGTCGTTAGCTTATCTAGTGATCTAGGTAAATTGTGATTAAAATAGAATCATCTATCAGCGCTACGAGTCCTGCACTTTACAAAACTAGATCCCGCTTTTCCTAATTTAATCTTTCGTTGTCGTCGTGTTTGCTACATGACAAATACATTTTGAAAATTTTTTATCAATAAACTTATACACAAAAACATTCGCACACATTTTCTGCCTTTGCACCATTGTAAGGATTAGCACTACACTATCGCGCGTGACCGATGTCGGCCTTTTCTAGTGACAAGTAGATACAACCGCGCTACGGTTAGAACTGTCAGACACACGTTCGCGAAATATTTTACTAGTCGTGCTTTTGCAGTACATAGGAAAAATCGCGCACTAAGAGCTAAATATAATAAGCTAAGAGTTTATTTAAAAAATATATCTTTTTATAAAAAAAATAATATCTTTTTATAAAAATTTAATTATCTCTAACTCTACCGCTCTAAACTAGATATATTCCTTAGAAACCAACTCTTAGGGGTGAATAAAGTAATAACGAATAAACTTTTTCACCTTTGTCCGCTCTATTCATCGTCTTCTCGCTTCTTTCTGTTCTTAAAAGTAAATTATTAGCCCCCCGAGGCCTGGATAAAGTATTCGCGCGCTTGCGAGGTCGTAGTCAACTCTTTCTGGAGCCTTCCCGGACTCTTTCTGCTATCTGGAGTAAAGGTAGCGATTATTTCCGTCGAGATTTTTCAAGCTAACTATCATATTCATTGGTCGCAGTTCACCAGCAATCATCACACCGCGGGAACACGTGAACACAACGCGATTCGTCGCGAACGTCTTCAGGATCGGGGGTAACGAGGTATCTTCGACGTTGACAGAGCGATAGAAGGTAGAAAAATAGAAAGAAAGATGCAAAATCAACGAGCACAGAATGAAGAATATTGGACTTACACTTAGGTGGTGTCAATACAAGTGGACGAGTGCGTACTGTGTATATAATCGTGTGGGTGTTTGTGGTTGGGCGCGCGCGTATGAACACGGGGGTGCCAGCCGGTGAGAGCGAGCAAGGGTTACTTCGCAGAGAGACACGCACAGGAGGAGCTCGTCCCCGTGGAATGTGGAGTCCGCGACAACCTGAGCCGCTCTGAGGTCCAACGAAAAGCCACGACTGGACATCGGCTGAGGCTCCGGGCACCAGCACGCCTGCCGCTGCGTTATTCGAGCTGTCTCTCTTCCGCTCTCTTCCTCCCTCTTTCTTTCATCCCTCAACTATTAATAGAGCGGAGATCCGCGTCCGTGGGCCACGGAGAACGATACGATCCTGACTGCTACTATTTTCGTGTCTTTTAACAAGCGAACGCGCGCCACTTTTCTACGGAAACTCTCCGTTCTCCGGCCGCGCTCCGGCTGGCCCGCGATCCGGCGCCCTGCCACGCGCGACTTTGCTCCAAATGTAGGCCCACTACGATGCACTAGCACTCCCGAGAGACCTGGCCTTATCGCGAGGACATGCTGGCAATATACAATCCTCGTAATAAACGGAAAAATTAATTCGCGACTATGTTCCGTGAGCCTCATATGTTACACGTGAACATCACGTGTAACTTGTATGGCTGTCGCTTTTCATTTGTACATTTCACGTCGACTTTACATCTCATACATACCTTAATAAAAAATAATATGAACGTTTGCAATTATTTTGCTTCGTTTAAAGAACTTATAATCATGATCTCATTTTGCGGACATCGTTTATATTTAATGTAATGTTTACAATTATCTTTATTTTTAAGATTTGCGTGTATATAATAAGAAATTATTATTTCACTAATGTCGTCAATGCCATTTCTGCTGTGTTACTTTTAAGTTTGTGAACAGCATTATACGAATAAAAATAGCACTGCACCAGTAAGAAAGAACGCATTGCAGAAAAATGAGCGTCGAGTAAACGGGCACGGGGTCTCGGTTTTCTGAGTGACGAAATAAGAGCCGCGTTGAACAAACGTGGAAACGACGATCTTTAAGACCTTGGCGAAGGGTGCAGAGGAGTGGAAGTCGCCCACATCGTCAGGAGGAAGGAGGCTACCTTATCAGTACCCTAAAGCTGGAAGCCTAATCTCGGGCTGCGCGCGGACTGTGTCGAATCGCGAGGTGCCTCCTTATATGGTGGGAGACGTACGTGGGAGGCCAGGAGACCACGACGTTGCGGTATAAAGTTGCCCTCGCAAACGCGAATGCGATCTCGTGGCGACTTGGAGCAGAATCATATTCAACCACCTTGAAGATATAAACGCGGGTGGAGCCGCGCGTCGCGCGATTTACGACGAGAGACGCGGCACGACACACTTGTTCTTCGACCCAACAATGATTCTTGTGGAAAACAATTCTGTGGGAAAAGTTACGTCACGAGTATTTTCGCAGATTCTGTATGTAGTGCTTTGTAGTGTTGGCAAAGCGCGAGAGAAGAGATAGTGTAACAAAAACATCAAAGTATAATCATTATGCTTATTTTTGCACATGAAAACAGTTATATCAAATGTTAAAGATATTTTGTGCACATGTGATATATCTTATTAATACACTACTTAAAATAAAATAAAGAACGCTTTTACTAAAGAGTGCTAATTTTCCAAGTGTTGTAATTTTATGAAAAATAACGCAAAGCAATTTTTTAAACTGTTTTAAAAAGTAGAGCTCCTATTCTGTCTATTCTACCTATTTTATTCTCTTATTTTTTTTAATACTTTTCTTAAAAATCTCCTTTTTCTACAAATCTATATTTCGTCAAATGAAGGAGTATTCCATTCTTTAAAAATAACTATCTTTGATTTTACAAAGTTGAAAAAATTTTATTTGCTAAATTCATTGCAATTATAAAAAAATATGGTTTTCTATTGAAAATACTTCTCTTTAAATTTATCTATAATTTTTTCCCCGAGTTATATGAACTTATGGAAAATTAAAGAGATTAATTCCACATTTTTGAAAAAATGACAAATGTTATCTTTCTTGTTAGAAGGTATAACTTTGTCTACAAATTTAATTTTCGAAATTGCGAAAAATATCTTAAATTAAAAGTTTTGCTCAAGAAGATTTTTTCTTTAAATTGCTCTACTATTTTTTAAACAAATTATAGCAGTTTAAAAATTGAAGTTTTTTGAGAAAAGAAGCGTTCAATATTTTTTTAGTATAAATAATATATTATCGTACAAAGTAGTGAAGTAACGATTAAAAATTGTCAAATAATTTGTGGTTATTTTTGTCAGAAACACATAATATTGAAAACAAAAAATTTTATATTCTAGAAATAGATAGAAACACAAAATTCAAACCTTTGTTTGTTTCAGATAATATATAAAACGTCTTAGAATTATTTTGAAAGTTATTTGGGACGTCCTGAGCGAATTCAGAATGATTTTAGAGCATAATATGCTAGATGGAGTTATATGTAAATAAAGTTTATTTCGCCTGTCATTGTATCGTACTACTAAAAAATAAGGTCTTTTGAGTTGTACAAGTCGGATTATTTGAAGATAAAAGTCCCCTGGTATTCTATTAAGTAATACACTACTTAAAAAGTTAAATTAGTTTCAATTACGAATCTCCATCACTACCTCGAATCTTCATTAAAGTTAGTGGTGGCTCATAGCGGAGATTTTAGAACTACATTTTATAATAATAGCTGGTCTGCTAGATACAACAAACCATTGAACTATACAATATACTGTTACATTGCCGTGGTGTGGGCCAAACCGTTTTGTAAGATAAAAGCTACATCCACGTGGTATTTCACTCTCTATCTTACTAACATTCTATAATTTTTTACTACTAATTTTTTACAGTATACAAGATGAAAATCTAAAAAAGATACTAGATCTTTGAAGAGTTAAGAGACATAGAGGTTAGTCATATGAGAATACCATAGCACAAGATCTTGAAGGGATATCTTGAAGACTTGGACATTTAGAAGTCCTCGAGATATTTTTAGGATATTCTGAGGACTTATGTGGACATTTAGTAATCCTCTGGATGTCTTTGGGACATCTTTTAAATCTCCTGCTATGTGAGATATGTATACATATCACACATTATATATATATATATATATATATATATATATATATATATATA